GGTCCACGGACCGGGGCTTGGGGACCCCTGCTCTATATTGTTCTTACAGTGGTACTATAACCAAGAAAATGATGGACCATGAGCAATATTAACTCAGCCCCCTGTGTCCCATTCTAAAACTTCAAACAAATAACACAACTTCAATATTTCCCCATATCACATTACTAATGGATGGCAAAAGCACTTACTTGGCCTACTTTAAGCCCCAAACCACAACCCAGAGGTTTGAGGGGAAGACAAGATGTATGTGCTCTACTATATCTTAATGCTATTTATACTTTATATTAAAACCAGAGTCTGCACTCCTAACGGAATAACAAGGACAGTGTTTAACTGGATCATGTCCCATTTAATATTTAATTCCAAGAATCTACGATATCAGGAGTTGCTACACTACCCACCAGCAGAACCATAATTGCCTTTGTTCTGTATGTTTTATAGGGATTATCTTCATTTTCTACGTGTGTTTCTTGAAGGATGGCCATGTCTATGTTACAGTCCAATAAAAGTTTGGAAACATAATGGCTTTTGGATCCCAATGGAAAGGCAGATGGATCACTGAACAGCCAGTCATAGGAAGACATATAAATGACCCCAAAATAGGTGCCAGGCTTTCAACTACCACATCAGCAATGGACAATCCTGAATAGGATTCACACCTCACATGGTGTCTACCAGGACTCTGTATAAATGAGGCATAGTATCCTCCCCTCAGTGTGACTGTGGGGTCCCATATCAAACTGTAGGTCACGTCATGACCAGTTGTAAGCTGAGGGCATATACCAGTTCAGTATTTTATTTTTTAAAAAATATAAATGATGCTGCGCTTCAATGGTTAGATGGCCTAGGCCAGGGGTCTGCAACCTTGACAACTTTAAGACTTGTGGACTTCAGATCCCAGAATTCCTTAGTCAGCATAGCTGGCCTAGACACTGTTATTTGAACACAGATCTCAACATAGATGTTGAGACTCTAGAAAGAGTACAGAGAAGAGCAACAAAGATGATTAGAAGTCTGGAGGCTAAAACATATGAGGAACGGTTGTTGGAATTGGGTATGTCTAGTTTAATGAAGAGAAAGACGTGGGGAGACATGATAGCAGTGTTCCAATATCTCAGGGGCTGCCACAAAGAAGAGGGAGTCAAGCTATTTTCCAAAGCGCCTGAAGGCAGGACAAGAAGCAATGGATGGAAACTAATCAAGGAGGGAAGCAACCTAGAACTAAGGAGAAACTTCCTGACAGAACAATTAACCAGTGGAACAACCTGCCTCCAGAAGCGGTGAATGTGCCAACACTGGAAGTTTTTAAGAAGAGACTGGACAGCCATTTGTCCGAAATGGTGTAGGGTTTCCTGCCTAAGCAGGGGGTTGGACTAGATGACCTCCAAGGTCCCTTCCAACTTTACTACTACTACTACTACTACTAATAATAATAATAATAATAACTATTATTATTATCTTTTTAACATTTATATTTTATTGTGTTCTACTAATTTAGATGAAATGTTAATATATATTGGTAGTCCATCTATGATATGTCATATGATAAATAAATATAATAAATAAGGATTTATCTTTTTAGGACATTGGGTGTTCCCACCCAGAAACTCTCCATGGACTTTACAGTTTATGAGACATTGGAAAACCATGTATAATAACACGTTCTGGAATGAGCTGTGTTGTTGGCAAAGATATTCCTCCACATATTTACTGTTTCACATTCTTGGTCCTTGATTTAGCGTGTGTCACAGCTCCTCAGATCACTAAAGTAAAACCAACCTTCTCTTTCTCATGGCTTCATAAGTAAACTCAGTGCTTAAACCATAAATTACATCAAACTGATCAGACCGATTGGGTCCTCACAGAATATTGTACACAAAGTAATCTTTTTAAATCAGAAAGTCCTGCCAACCCAGAGGCAACTATCTGATCTGCTGCGCAACCTTGTTTAGTGTACAGTATTTATGGAATTCTAAACAATGAGGCAAGAGTCTCACAGCATTATTTAGAGATGTAAATGTTCAAATAAACAAAGCAAGCCAATTGTAGTTTGGATATTTGCCCCGTGTCTTTTTAAAAAAGAAGCTGGTTAAAAACCTGTTTGATGCCATACAGAATAGCACAAAATAGAAACAACTACGGTAGAGGAAAAATGCAAGGATAAAAACTCTGCTGGCCAATCTGCCCATCTAGACTGCATTATATAACTTAAGTCAAATGATTTAATATGTACCAGGACTCAATGGAAATGCGCAAGAACAGCAGGGCATAGCAGTGTTAATTTATAGCCAAAGCAATTTATTTTTAACAAGGCAAGATAGGAACTAGAGCAGTGATGGCGAACCTTTTAGAGACCGAGTGCCCAAACTGCAACCCAAAACCTACTTATTTATCTCTGGGTGCCAGGTGGGCATGGCCCACTGGGTGGGTGTGGCTATGGTGGTCATGGCAGATTGGGTGGGTGTGGTCAAGGTGGGCGTGATCAGCTTGATATTGCTCATGGGGAGGGACACTTGTGGGGGCCGGGCAGGGTTGGGGGAGATCCAGGGGGTCTCTGGCAGGGGGGTGGGTGGGCAGGAGGCTCGTCCTGCAGGGTGAGGCAAGGCGAGGTAGAGCGGGGATGTCATTGTCACAGGGCAAGGTGAGGCAGGGTCCAGGGTGGCTGCTGCCTGACACCATCGGCCCCTGCACACAGAGGCCAGCGAGCACATGGGTGCTGGGATGCATCTGGCCACGTGGGACCTTGGCGAGTTAGCGGGCAGCTGGTTGAAGAGGGACGGTTGCCATCTCTGGGGCATGGCGTGTGTACCCACAGAGAGGGCTCTGGGTGCCGCCTCTGGCACACGTGCCATAGGTTCGCCACCATTGAACTAGAGCAATGGTTCTCAACCTGTGGGTCTATTGACTTTCAAAAGCCAACAGGAATTGTCCAGGCTGTCTCTGCCCTGCTGACCCTGCCAAAAGTCCCATTCTGCAAACGGTGCTGCACCAGTTGAGTAGTCCTCGACTTACGACCGGTTGGGGGTCGCGGCATTAAAAAGGTTGAGAACCACTGAACTAGAGGGAAAATAAAGTGACTGATAACAGAAACCAGTGTAGCAACAATAATCTGAAGAATCATAGAATTTTCTTTCCTGACCAACAATTCCAATTAAAAGTGCTAGCTCCCTTATAATTCAATGCCCCAAATGCTTAGTTTGACCAAGCCAAAAATATATCACATAAATGTTTGGACTTAGCTAAATAGATCCTCTCCCAATGTTCCCCCACCCAACAAAGCACACATTTTAACACAAAGAACTTTTACAAAGATACTGGGAAGCTAGCGCAGATATTGGTTGGACTGCACATCAAACTATGTCATAATGTGATTTCTTTAATTTTAGCTTATATTTATTTATATCCCACCTTTATTAGCTTTAATGTGTGAACTTGCCCACTAGGGTTTGCAAATCTCGCTTTTTGTCATAAACCATAGGCCATAAGCAATTTATGACTTTTCATATGTGAGCCTAACCAATTGTAGTTTATTAAAAACAAACATGGTTAAATGAATAACGGCTTAGGACTGGTGACGAACCTATGGCATGGATGCCAGAGGCGGCATTCAGAGCCCTCTCTGTGGGCATGCGCGCCGTCGCCCCAGTCCTAGGCCTTCAGCTGGGTTTTATAAAACCTTTTCGCTTTAGGCCTCCGCCACTGTGTGCAAAAAAAAAAAAAAAAATTCAATCAGTCAATTTCAACTTCTCGCAGGAAAAAAAAAGTTCTTGCAAAGTTGGAATTGATTTATCAAACTTTTTAGTCCCACCCAGTCTGCCGTTACAACGGCAGCCATGCCCACCCAATTGGCCACACCCAGCCAATGGCACTCGATGATGCATAAGTGGGTTTTGGGTTGCAGTTTGGGCACTCAGTCTCTAAAAGGTTCGCTATTACTGGCTTAGAATAATACATGAATCCAGTTGAAAATGACTTGATGGCATATAAGATTGTTTTCAAACCTTGGGAAGGAACTTAACATTATATTACATAACATATATGCCGGATTGCTTATCCAGTAATCAGGGTTCTTTTTATGTGTGTCTTTGTATGTAAAAGTAAACATTTCTTTGAGTCAAGTTCAACAATTGGTGAATATATGAAAACTGGATGTCAATTTAATTGTGTTAACACTAGTATAGGAAGTCATCAATCATTCGCTTAGTCATCATTCAAATTTACAATGACACTGGAAAAAGCAACGACTGGTTTTGCACTTGCGACCATCATAGCATCTGCATGGTCAACTGATCAAAACCTGGATGCTTGGCAACTGGCATGTATTTATCATAGTTGCAACATCTCAGGGTCACGTGATTGGCTTTTGCAACTTTCCTTGCTGGCTTCCAACAAGCAAAGTCAGTGGGGGAAGTTGGAATTACTTAATGATGTGATTCACTTAACAGTCATGGCAAAAAAGGTCATAAAATTAGATGTGACTTCTTAACAACCACCTTGCTTAGCAATGGAAATTCTGGTTCCAATTGTGGTCATAAGTCGAGGACTACCGTATGGGATTGGTTTTCCACTGTCTTGTTCCAGAATCTTTTTTCAGTTTTCACTCTGGTGATCTCTATCTTTATTACTATTTTGTTTTACTATTTCTACTGGTGTTTAATACTCCTTGCCTTGGCTGTAATAAGATATGACTAAGGTTATGAATACATTATTTTGAGATAGAAATAAAACTAAATGATCCATTACTTGGATAAGTGATGAGGAAATAATTTGCCTTATTAAATTTAACAATTGATGATATTGTGTACATATTTCTTCAATATTTGCTGTTCTTTAAGAAGATAGAACTGAGTTTAAAGTAACTCAGATATAAATACTTAACATCATTGGGATTTGTTGTTTTGACAGCCTTTCCTGTTGAAACTGGAACTGCAATAATAGACTAGTATGGTGCAATTCTTTATCTCTAATTCCCACAGTAGATTAATATAACAACACTGAAATTATATGAGAGCATTATATCATGTTGTTAATATAACAAAAACAGAAATTAAATGAGCTTAATATTTATCTTTCCAGACAAAAGGGATGTTTATCTTAATGTTCACACATGCCACATTACTGCAACCAATTCTATAGAGTGGGAACAACTAAGCTTTAGGCATATCAATGATTGGATGAATAAAAAAGATCAATATGGTGGAAACATCCAGAAAAGAAAAAGTACATTAGACAAAAAAGTCCTTACAAGTGCATCCTTCTATATTCAGTGAAACATAATACATAAGATATCATCAGATTTTATTAGACTACAAAAAAAGGAAAAATGTTTTGATCCAAAATAAAACATGGAAAAAATCCAACTATCTACTTTTCATCACAATGATGCTTCTTCTCGATGTAAAATTACACATTTTGTTTAAACTGGACTTAATCAAGCATTTACTGTATCACCTATACAAAAATAACTAAATAGAGTATATTTTTTATTATTTACATTCTTATTTATAGGTCTACAGAATTGCTAAGGACTTTTGACAATGTACAGGTAAGATACAACCAAATTGAATAAAATATAAATTGTAAGACCCATTGAATAGTTGAAACTGTATAAACCTGAACTACGCTTTCTGACACTATGGTGTCTGTTGTGTCCCGAGCCTGCACAAGCAGGCTCGGGACGTTGCAATGGTACCGCGCATTCCAGAAGCTGCCCGGGACCAGACTGAGTGGCGCCAGCTTTGTGCGCATGCGCAAGGTGCGAAAGCGCTCTGATTGTTGCCACTGTGTCCGGGGATCTGGTCATATAAAAAGAGGCCTGCGTGCCTTTGCTCGTTGTTGGTGTTTTGGCTGAAAACGAAATAAAGAGCTGTTTAGTACAAGATGTGTCTTCATCATTCGCCATTGTTCGAAGGACTTAACAGTGTCATCTTTAGCATCTCAGGAAGATTCTCTCCCCCCCCCCCATCCTGCTATCTGAAACAGTTTTAACTAGGGAGAAATCAATCACTTGTAGGATGTTTTCTGCCACTACGTCCACATTTTCCTGTTAGGGAAGAAGGAATAAAACAATTAGCAAATTGCCTGAAGCTGTCTCACAGTAGGGTTCTTTACATTTGATAAATTCACATTTGATGGTCTTGACACTCTATTTCTGCTGATGCAGCCTAGGATTGCATTTGTGCTTTTTAATGGTTGCATCACATTGTTTGCTCACATTCAGCTTGTTATTGACCAAGACTTTTTCATATATATTAGTAATGAGTATGGTTTATTCTCCAACCCATACTAATGCATTTGATATTTCCTATTCAGATACATCTATTGGATTTTAGCTTTTGGAAATTCATTTTGACAAAACAGATTCCTATGGAAGCTTTGCAACAATTTCATTTATAAAAATATAGTCTTTCCTTCTTTCTAAATTATTCATTAGTATTAGTAATATTCAATGGAACAGGAAGAAACTTGAAATAGATGGCTTTTTTCTGATCCAGTTTATTTTTGCCTTATAAATTATGAATTGATGAAGGAGATCCTCCTTCAGGATTTTAAAAAATGAACTATTTCTTTTAAAAAAATAACTAAAAATAATTTAAAACAAATTTAAATAGTTTAAATTAAAAATAATGTAAATATAATTATGATTATTAGTTTTGGCTACCATGGTATATGTAAGGGCTTACAATGAGAACTGTGTCCTGGCTCCTGGGGCCACTGAAGATTGGAAGGTTAGGGAATTTATAACCGAATTCTTCCTTCAGGAGTTCAAGGCAGTATACATAGTGGACTGTTGAAGGTGATTTTTTATTGCATGCTGTATTTTTTTCTGTGCCTTTTCTGCCACGGCCTCTGCCTTGTGTAACATTCTCCCCCACCCTTAAGTGAGGTCATCTCCATCTCTTATTTTCCAGAAGTCCCTCAAAATCTGGCTTTGTCATCAGGCCTGGGCGACCAGTGGGATGTTGAGGGGCTCTGTTGATCGAATCTCGCGCGTGCTTTTTTTTTTTTAATTTTTTTTTAATATAACCGCGTAAGATATTTTTATTGCTTTATACTTTAAGGGGTGTACTCCGTCCAGGGTCACGTTTTGTAAAATGGACGGCCATATAGATTTCATAAATATTTTTTTGCCATTTCAGGGAGGGGGTTGATAGAGAATAAACGGCCCCCTGGGGATGCCCTGTTTTCAAGCTTCCGCCATTAAAGCCTTGACCGTGCGCAAATTCCTCACCTTCTGTCCCCGCTTGTCGTCGTCCCCTTCGAGAAGGGCACCTTTCACAACCAATTGAATGCTAAACTTTACGTTCCTTAAGCCAATGAGGAAAAAAGACAACTTTCCACGTGGACCCGCCTACTGTAGACTAACGAATACTGTACTACGGTATGCGCCATTTGAACCAATACTCTCTTCCCTTTTCTTCGTCTCGGCCCATCAGCCAATCAGAAACGCTTTCTTCCCCACTTGCACCCCCCCCCTCAAGGCGAGGAGGTCGGAAGAGAAAATACTGTTTATCTCAGAGAGACCGCACGACCGAATGGTGAAGAAGAGGGAGGGGGCGTGGTCTTATTCTTTCACGAAGCATTGGCGAGGGAGCGGATTCGAAGTGGGAGGGTGCAGTTCTCAACACCGGAAGTAGGCTGGGCTTTCGTTAAATACAAGTGGGCGCGCTTACGCAATTCTACGCCACGGATGGGCGGGACTATCTCCGCCCACTGCCATATAAAGGCAGTTGGCCGTCCTCCGCCGCCCGCCATTTTGTGCTGCCGAAGAGAGGAGCACGAAGGAAGTCCTTACCAAGAGGTAGCCGAGAAGGAGGGGGCTGGAAGGAGGAGGAGAAAAGGGCAAAGACCCGACCGGGGGTTCGGCGACCAGGGGGCGGCCCGGATGGTGAAATCCTCCCTGCAGCGGATCCTCAACAGTCATTGCTTTGCCCGCGAGAAGGAAGGAAATAAAAAGACCAGTATCGACACCATGCCCACCCTGCCCACCAACGCCGCTTTGAGGAGGTGAGGAGAGAAGAGGAAAACGGCCAAAAAGAACAACCCCGCTTTGCCTCACGCTCCGCGGCCTAGTCCCACGGCCTCGCCCTACGAGCCCCGCCCAGGGACGCGGGGAGGGGGCGGAGCCAGCGGGACCACGCCCCCTTTCTCCTAGCAACCTGGGGTAGGGCGAGAGGCTCGGAAATCGATGTCGCTCTCGTTGCGGGGGCAAATTGTGCCGCTTCGAAGTTCCGCCATCAGGAATCGATTTTCCCAAATTAGGAGGAGGAGGAGGGATGCGTGTCTCCTGCGATCCCCTTCTATATATATTTCGTTTAGTTTACAGGGCGCGGCTATTGGGATTGCCGTCCAGTTGCCGTTTATTAACCCTTTGTGCCCCGACCCCTAGTTGCAAGAGCTTCCAGAACAGCTTGTGGGAACGGGGCAGGCCGAAACCCTTCCGTCTTAGCAGCCGAAACTCTGGCATATAAAAAAAAAAAGAAGAAAACGTAAGAGTGCGCTTCTTAAGGTTCTCTATAGGAGCTCTATACTTCCTGCTAGCTGTATGCTTTTATTGGGTACTTTCCGACCAGAACAGTGCAGTTGTAAAAAGGGGAACTGATTTTTTTTTTAACACATCAACAGAAGGTGTTTCACTTGCCCTCTTGTCCCTAGATACGGCCTAAGCTGGTGGATGCCTTATTACTGTATGTATTCGCCTTCCAGTCCCCTGCTGGTAACTGCCTGGATTAAGTTCCCGCAGTTTTCTTGTTAAGGTTTTTCAGAAGTGGTTTGCTATTGCTTCCTAAGGCTGAGAGAGAACTAGCCTTAGATCACCCTAGGTCAGGAGTAGGCAACCTTGGCTCTTTTATGACTCGTGGACTTCAACTCCCAGAATTCCTGAGCCAGCATTTCTGGGAGTTGAAGTCCATGAGTCATAAAAGAGCCAAGGTTGTCTATCCCTGACCTAGGTGGTTTTGTACTTAAGATGGGACTAAAACTCAGTCTCCCCATTTCTAGCTTGGTTGCTACCTTACCCAGTAGAGTAGATCAAACTGGCTCTCTGCCTAATTACTACTTGGGTTCAAAGGAGAAAAGAAGATGAAAAATTCTGATTAGTCTCTTGATGAAAATAATTATTCATTTTACCCCATTAAAAAGTACGTGTAATTCCATCAATACAGGGAGAATGAAGTAAAATTGTATTAAAGCTTCATTCATTTTCGGGTTAACTTCTTTTTTCTCCACTTGCATAGAGAAATTTTAGTTTTATATGTCAGGAGAGAATTGGAAGATAGCAGGCCTTTATTGATAAAATTAGTTGCTGTCTGGCTACTCCCTTATTCACAGTGCATAAGTAAGATCCCCTGTAACTTATTCATATAATATCCATTGCCTAGGAAAAATTAGGTCCTATTTGAGGTGATATCTATTACATGAAAACCTGTGTATTTACATAAGATGTTTTCTCGGTTCCACGGTGGGTGCTGAGCATTAACATATATGTTAGTGATTCCAACAATCAAGTAGTTGTAGGAAAAGTATATTTTTTTAGGCAGGAATAGATGCCTCCCCAAGAAGGAACAAAGTTTAGTGTATGTGTGAGTGACAGAATTATGATCATCCATCTTGTACATGAAATGTCCCTATCATCATAGAAGGAAAAATCTTCTTTCTCCCAGCTAATGTGGTTTAATACTTATTTAGATATGCACTAAGATGAAATGAAGGTATTCCTAAGTATACATATAGACATAGTTTGTCTTCATGTGGGTGTTTCCTGCTTCAGCTCTTGCCTTTAAACAAATAAAGATTTTAGTTGATCCATTAGAAAGGGAGTTTTCTTTTTATATATGAAAAGCTGAACCTTTCCCCCCCCCCCAAAAGTGGGATTTTATGTCTTTCTACGCATGCATCCAATCTGTTCCTCTCCATGTGATAATGCCCCCCCCCCAAATTAAGTGAATTGTGGGCACCATGATGAGAATTGAGGAGTAACAGCTGAAAGCAGTTGATTGGCAGGCTTTTCTTACATTCAGATTTTCACATAACAAATGTATGCTATTCAATAGAAGAAAGTTTATTTAAAATATACTGCGATTGGATGAGGGAGAATACGTTTTATTATATGCTTTTCAAATCTGTCCATGCCTGTTTGGTAATAAGAATTGTAGATAAATTCATCTTGAGGGTATCTGTGTAAGAGAAGCTGTTTGAATTTATAACCAGAAGTATCCTGAAATGTTATAAGCAAGCAGTTTGTTTAAATTTAATTTTATCCTTAGCAGATGTTACTTAGCTTGCAAAATGGTAATCATTAGGGCAATCAGCTTTCCAGTTAGAAGCTGAAACTAACAGTGGCCTCTGAAGTCATAATCATGATTACAGGGAAAATGCTTTGGTTCCCCACCATTTTGGGGAAGGAAACAACACATCTTTGCTGCAATATGGACTATAGATTTTTTTTTAAAGATCACTCTCCAGAAAAACTGAAAGTAATTCCCAGCCACCCCTGTATATATGATGTGGCTTCACTTAGTTTACATCATTCTCCTGTGAAAAAAATTATTTGTGTTTGGCTTTGTGGCACAGAATTTTCTTCAGTAATTGATCTGCTCTACAAGCTAAGAACTAATTCCCCCAGTTGTAGCTGAAATCTTTTTTTTCTTCTGAATTTGGGTTCATATATTCTAAGCAATCTTTACTCCTTGGTATAAACAGTGAACTCTATTGAGATCACAATATTTCATTTGTACCATGCAATCTGGGGGGAAAAAAGCTGCTTCAGGGAAAACCCAGTGTTTGGAAATAGGGATCTCTCCTAAAAAGGTCAGTGCAGTGGAGCTGAATCAGACCAGCTCTGAGACTATAATCATTGTTTGAGATAAGCTTAGATTTTTGCTTGGAGCACACTTTTTTTCCTGATACGAAGATTTTCATTGTAATAAGGAAATTACTTTGATGAACCAAGGAAGTTTTTTCATGAGGTATAAAAAGAAGCAGGCCTCTTGGCCCCCAGATAATGAATTATGTATAATCCTCAGCCATCATGATCAATAATTGTGAATAATGGGAGATTATAGGCCATCATCCAGAGCTTCCTGTGGTTGGGAAATTGTTACATTAAGATAGAGCCCATTTCAGCTTGATGGTGCAGTTCATAGAAGAATTTCCTTTTTCTGTTTTACTGTTATTCTCAGTTGTATATGATGGAATAAGGGAAACATTATGAATAAAAGTTGTTTTCGTCCTTGGGGATTCTATGTAAGATGTGCTTTCCTGACCCAACTTGGGACAATTCTAATGTGAATTGTCTTTAGCAGATAGTTGAATTATGTACTGTGATAAAAGTAAATAATTGATTTCCCATCCCCAATAGCCAGATCTGAATCGTCTTTTTAAATTTGATCAAATCTCATTTAGTGTAGTTTCTGCCTGTTAGATATGCAGTACATGAATGATGCTGAGATTTCCCAAGAACTACCATACCTGGACCTTTATACTTTAGACCAGGCACTGGCAGCATTAATTAATGCTACTACACCTAAAACGATGGTGCCAACAGGCAGACTGAAATGAATGGCCAGTATGAGATTTCAGTGTACGATATTTTAGGGATTTGTTTAGCAAGCTTTAAAAGAAAAAAAAGTGTCTTATGTGCTTCAGCAAGAACTGCCTGCCATTTCTCTATATCCACTCTTGGTTAGATTTAAACAAAGCAGGAAAGAACCATTTTTAAAAGTATGCAAAATGGGCTGTTTTACCCATAAACATTTCCCACATAATGGAGAATGGGGCTGGAATACTTCATACCTTAGTTGAATAATGGTGTTGATGAGCAGTCTATTCAGCTTAGTTTTTGTGGAGAATAATGTCAATATCAGATGAAATACCTAATGGAAGCATAATGTATCCCTCAAAAGGCTTTGATTCAGAACTACTGAAATGCCTCAGGACACAATACAGCTTTTGAGTATGGAAGATAAAGATTAGAAAGTAGGGTTGGGCTGAATCTATCTTGCATAACACAGCCCCCTTACCAGAATGTTTTGGCTCACCCGTGTAGGTTAACACTTTGGAAACAAGAGTGAATTCAGGATTTTTGAGAAATTAAGCCCTAATTTAACTGATATATAGCTGACATATTGAACAGAGCAATGTTCAGCTAGTTCAGTGGTTTTTTTTTTTTAGGGCTCCATTAGCCAGCAGGTATTGAAACTACTCATATGATGGAGTAAAATGCTGTTTCATAATGCAAGAGTAGCAATGTTAAGCCCTAATGCCTATTTTTTCTGAAGCTATTCTTCTGGGATTCATTGATTGTTTAATTGCTAAAGTGTATGTACTACCCTTCAAAACAAATTCACAATTTAAAATTTAAAAGAAGTAGTCAAATACATACAAAGCAGGAAACCTTAAGTATTATGAGTGAATCCTAAAACTTTTAATATTTACTCAACTGGTGCAGGGTGAAATTTGCTTCCCAGTGTCACACAGCACATTAATCAAAAAAATTTGCACATAGCACAAAGCTCAGTTGTGTGTAAGAACACACAATGGAAGATGAACCTGTTTGAAGAACCAACATAGTATCTTTAGGGGGAAATAATTGTTTTGCATT